GTGTGGTTTGGAGGGGCTCGGTGGGTCTGGCCCCCTCCCCACCTCACCCTGCTGTCTCCGGGGCTTGTTTTCCGTTGCCTGCGGTTTGTTCCAGTGACTCAGGCAGCGAAAGCAAGTCTGGGAGGCTGCAGAGCCGCTGCTGGGAGAGCTGCACTGGGGCGGGGGCTGGGGAGGAGAGGGATGGGGGGCTGTTGGGCTGTACAGAGCTGGGACACCCCGCTGCAGGGTTCAGGGGAGCTCGGGGGACAAGCTGGGGGAAGAGAAACTTTTTAAGGCTGTTACATCCAAACAGGATTGGTGGGGAATTGGGGGGGAGTACCGTGGGCTCCGCTCATGGCTCCCCCCAACAGCATCTGCTCTCTGTCCCCCATGGAGATGGGCAGCAGGGGTGGAGCACCCAGAACCCAACTCAGCACCCATGGGACCCTGTTTCCTAAACCCTTTGGACACTCCCACCCAGGAGGAGCCACCAGCCTGGCTAGGCTGTGGCACCCCAGCTGAGCGTTGCTCCTCGTGGGCTGCAGCTTCTTCTTACGCAGGGCACATTTTGGCCACAGTATAAATAAGAACCGTGGGTCTGGCATGGCTGTGTCCTGGTTTCCATGGGATTCACATCTCGCGATGACCACTTTCAAGAAATTCGGCTGAGTCCAGCGTGAGAGCTCATCCTTTTACTAGACATCAATGAAACGCCGCAGGAGAGGTCGTGGGCTGATGGGCAACTTGGCTGTATGCCATTGGACTCGTGGAGAAGAGTTGGTGCCCACTGCTGCCACGCTGCCTAGCTGCCTCAAGCTGTGGGTGCCAGCGCAGGGTCCGCTCTTGGCTAGGGGGAGCCATCAAAGATGGCTCTGTCCCCCCGGCCAAGAGCAGACCCACAGCCGGCACCCCACACCTGCATGTAGCAGCTGGAGCCATGGGTGACAGGGAAAAACCTGGCCAGATGTGTCTTTTGGGAGCCAAGATCACCCCAGACCCTTTCCCTGTTACAAGTTTCTCCCTGAATTGCCCCCCCATCTTCACCACACCCAGGGCTACCCAGGACAAGCTGGTGGAGATGGGGCCATGCAGGTTTGGGTGGGTGTTGGGGGTCGCCCAGCTTCTACAGGTCCTAATAAAGATGGGCAAGAGATCGGGACAGGGCTGGGGACCCCAGGATGGTCACAGGCTTAACCCTCCCCGAGGCAGGGAGAAGCCAGGGAGGTGGCGGAGCTGTGGTACGTCCTGGTGCCAACTGCTGGAGATGCACTTACTCACCCTGGAGCTCTGGGCAATGTAAAGGGACCTCAGCATTGGGGTCCCAGAGCTGGAGGAATGTGGTATGGACACAACTGACCCACCCCAGGGCTCCGGGACCTGCAAGGGGACCCCAGGACTGTGCTGAGGACCCTGGAGCTGGGGAAGGGGCAGGCAGGGAGCCCCACAGATGGCAGCATGGGTGTCTCGGAGGGACAGAGGCAGGCGGGACGATGCCGTACGGTGAGATGCGGAGGGCCCAGGCGAGGCCGGCCGTGCGGGTCAGGGAGCGGGATGCTGGTGGCCGCGCGGGTCGGGGAGCGGGACGCTGGTGGCGGTGGTGGGAGGCCAGGCCCAGGCAGTCTCCAGGCAGTGTCCGAGCCCCGCTCCCAGCTGGGATGGCAGCGCCGTGTTTGCGAAGAGTTAAGGAGGCTGAAGAGGGAGGAAGCGGCCCGAGGCGCTCTCCCTAGAAAACCGCGGGCGGGGTTTAAAGAT